ATCATCTTCCGCGTCTGTGAATAAGTGGGCATACCTGCTCAGTACGTTGCGTATTGCACGGTTCTGACAATCAGGCACGGCTTTGAGGGCACCAACCCGGTCGGTTCTCCCCTTGTTTATCTTGATCGTCTCGTTAGCCACGATCACCACATCGTTTTTCAGGTCAATTGTGACACCGAGCCGTTTCAGGATGTCGGTTCCGATGATGGTTTCGGTCGTCTCCTCCACGATGAACATGTCATGGCTGATGAGCGTTTCTCCTATCCTGATTCGTAACCGCTGCGTGCCCGTCACTTTCAAAGAATGCCCGCCGACCGTCTGCATCGTGATTGAAGATGGGTTTACTGGAACCCCATTGAACCTCTTCGTAATTGACACTGCCGCTCCTGTGTCTACTATGGCTCGGACAGACACACCTTCTATAGTTACCTGGAGGACTGGTACTCGCCACCGACTCGGCATGGATAGAGAGAAACAATGGGGCACATTGACGTTGGTGCAGAATCTCGCCACATGACCATTCTGGTTGCATCGGAAACAGCGGCGACCGTTCCGGATTACCCGTACATTGCGTTGTGAAGTGGTGCTTGAAGAGTCTATCGACAACAGCTGCTCCACCATTTCGGATAGGCGATTTACTATCTGTTCCAACTCAGCATGCTGGATGCTTCTCACTGTCACTCGTTCCGACAAATTCTGGGCGACCGTCACCAGATCCAACGCTTTGCTGTCTCCCACCATCGACGCCAATTTCACCTGATCATGGAGTGGACCGGGCAGACTTCGGATAAACTGCTGTTTCAGTAGGCGCTCTCTTGCGTTACCCTCTAACTCGGGGAGCCCAATCGTTAGATGTCTGTCCAGCTGCTGGAAAAACACCATCAAATCCTCCTGTTCGTCCCATCTGGCTGCGTGAAATCGTTGCAGTGCTCGTTCTCTCTCCAGATCCTTCCCAAATTCTGCACATAAGGCAGCCCTCATCTCAGCGAACGAACAACCGGGTTTGGCCTTTCGAGTGAGCAGATACACCGCCTTGGCTCGTCCACTCAACCGTGTGCCCAAAGCAATTAGCAAATTTGCATCACCCCTCACACCCGTGCAAGCCGCAATTCCGTCGAACTCATCGAGCCACGCCTCCACGTCACCGGCTGCAAATTGCTCTAACCGGGTCAACTCCATCGCGATTGGTCACGGCACCAGTGTAGCGAGAACGACAAGACAGGGGGGTAGACGTTTATTGCACACCGAAAATGGGCACATGAGGGTCTCACGTCCGCCATCGAATATCGACTAGATTTCCGTCCCACCACGCAACACAGGTACGGATGTTAGAGGCGAGCCAGTCCTTTCGCCTCGGGAGCTCTGACTTGGAAGTCCCGCCTTCCTGTTTTCGCCTCGATCTCCGCTTCTCTGTACCCGATTTGGATCGGCCAGGAGTCGTTCGAGAGCTCTCGACTTGCTTGTTCTGGGCTGTGTCAATCGGCTCGGCCTCGGTCCTGTGGGCTGCGCTAGCGGCGTATTTGTCTGATTTATTGCGCTGTCCACATATTCCCGCTCCGTAGTTCCGGGCCCAGGCTCGTCGCTAGCCGTCTTTCGCGATCCGCTCTCAGCTAGCTCCGAAGAGCTCCCCAGAGCCATTCTTGGAAGCGGCCCCTCTACAATACTACCGTGAAGAACAAGCTAGTTTCCGTCCTGGCCGCGGATGCGTGGATCAAATATTCACGCTCCGCCAACTCCTTGAACATCGCCACATTTATCACAGGCCCACTATCATTGCATTTCTAGACATACGTGCCACTTTTGACTCCGTTGATCGACCTGCTTTATGGCGTTGCTTGCTAAAGAGTAGGGTGGCAGAGAAATATACCGCCATCTTACGAGCACTTTACCTTCATACATCCGGCAGAGTGAGGGTCTATGGCAAGCTTTCCTCGCAATTCCCTGTCAATAACGGTGTGCGACAGGGCTGCCCTATGTCCCTATTCCTCTTCAACTTCGCAATCGAAGACGTTCTGTCGAATGCCATAGAAGCTTTCCAACATTTTGGCTTAGAGCTTCTACTGGGTGAACGCGCGACCGACTTAGATTATGCTGATGATATCGCCTTACTTGGTGATGATTTTCAGGGTATGTAACTCATTCTGGATCGTTTGGCGGTTGAAGCGTCTAAGTATGGCATGAGCTTCGCCCCATCGAAGTGTAAAGTACTGCTCAAGGATTGGTTTACACCTGCCCCCGTGCTCACTTTCGAAGGTTCACAACTTGAACAGGAAGATAGTTTCGTCTACCTCGGGAGCTGTGTTTCTGCTTACGGTACTATCAACAAAGAAGTTTCTCTTCGTATCACTAAAGCTCGATCAGCATTTGTCAATCTGAGGCACTTGTGGCGTCGTCGTGACGTCTCATTCTCACTAAAGGGCCGCATTTACAACGCATCAGTTCGCTCAGTATTGTTGTATGGGTGCGAGTCCTGACCGATTCGCGTGGAAGACATGCGTCGTCTTTCTGATTTCGATGCCGGTTGCTTAAGGAGGATCGCTCGTGTTTGGTGGCAACATCGAGTTAATAGTAATGACGTTCGAGGTTGGATCTTGGGGAATGCAAGTATTTCCTTCAACAAACTGGTTTTGTTGCGCCAGTTAAGATGGCTCGGTCATGTCCTACGCATGGCACCTGAGCGTCTACCGCGTCGCGCTCTATTCGCTCGTCAAGGACCTGGCTGGAAGCGACCGCGTGGTGGTCAGCCTTCCACTTGGCGGCAACACATGTAATCGCTGACGCCCTGTCTGGGCGTTGTTGGATCCGTACGTCTTCCAGGATGGGACCCAAAGATGAGGAATGCCAATGGCTTAGGACTCTTGAAGACATGACCCGCAACCGGAATCAGTGGAAGAATTGTGTACAGTATTGTATTGATTCACATGTTTAATACTGCCAATATTGAAAATGACAAAAAAAGTGAAAAATCGGCGTGTGACAAACAAACTAAGAATGTTTTGTTCTACATTTTATCAAAATGTTCCATTCTTCTTGCGGCATATTAGCTGAAGTGTGTTGCCCACCCTCAGCTACCGTGCCACGATGATTATGACGCAATGACTGTCTCCTATCCACTGATCTCCACGGCTTTGTTGGCTCTATATCTAGTTGCTAGACTGTCGGGATTACATACATACATACATAATTGCTAGCATTATCCGGTTTTTGTTACGTAATAACACTTTGAACGCTGTCTCAGGGTTCACGTGATGACGGGTTGTCATGAGGTGCTTGGTGATAGACGATGCCGGGCTCTGCTTACTTCTCAGATCCGTCCTATTTTGTTGCGTAATCACTTGTCCCAACCACTTTGGCAAGTCTTCAACTACCCTCTGAACTAACTGACGGTTTGTTCTGCCTATGTAAATGTCACCGCAACCGCAGGTGAACTGATATACTACGTGAGAGGTCGAACTACCGGACGAGATGCTCTGACGGACCTCCCGTGGTATGCCTGAGTCGCAACTGGGCTGTCGTGTAGGTGCGTGTTATGGCGGACCGGAGCGTGCGTCCGGTATCATTTGCCACATGGTCCCCTTTGAACAGCAAGAACAAGTAAACATCCTTTTTCTCAGCCGTCAGCACCGGTGTCTTCACGCTGGGAGGTCTGCTGTGTACTTGAATAAACTTCTGGGAATATCCATTAGAAACTGAAGTCTTGCGTAGAATCTCTTCTTCGACTTTCAACCTTTCGTTGCTGCAAATACGTCTAGCGCAGTAGAAGAGAGTTTTCACTAAGTCTCGTGGCACCGTTGTCCGTCAGATCACGGACATTAGATTTGCGAATCATTGGCATACCTGTTAGATTAAATAAATAAATAAATAAATAAATAAATATACTTTATTCTTGATAGCAACGAGACACGCCTTATCAGGCATGATCAAAGTTTTACAGACAATGTTTCGCAGTAGGCACATTGTGTTGCATGCATAAATGGGGAAAGTACATGTGAGGAAAACATCAAGGGTGAAGTGGCAAGTGTTTGCGTCCATGTGCATGTAGCGTAGTGCAAAAATTTGTTGGCTGTCTTTATTATGGTCGGTACTTGCATAACATATGACATGTTGACCAGTAACATACTGGATTCGTGTGTGTTTGTATGTACGTGCATGCTGAGGCTGATGTTGCATTCTTGATTCTTCTTCACCGCAGTTAGGCTAAACCAACTTACACTTAAACTAGGTCTTTTTAAGCTGGATAAATTTCATTCCACTTTATTTCGTTTGTTCTGCCTACCTGAATAATCTTCTATTAACTGGCCACGTTGCTTACGCTAATTGCGCTTATCTTCGGCAACTTTGTTGCGTTTGTAGCATTTTTAAATAACTTGTGGACATTTTTCCTTATCGCGGATTCAATGCTAACCAACTTACTTCATATGTTAATGTGGCGAAGAGTTATGCCACTGTATCTGTATGCATTATTCGATTTATTTTATTTATCTTGTCGTTTCAAGTGATTGGCTGTTGTTTGATATCCCCGGTGTGGCGGCGCTTGATGTGCATGTTGACAAGATGCCTACCTGTCTATTACCCACTACCTCGTCCATACTAGCTCCAGGAGACAGTTGGCCGTTGCTGGATGGGGCGGGGTGCACGATCCTTGTGTCCGTGTTAGGCTCGAAGAGAGGTTTCATGCACTCAGTGTGGAGCGGACTACGGTCCAGTCACCGCCTTGTGTGCGCTTGATTCCCTGAATACAGCGTGCTTGTGTTTGCCTGTGAAGGAGTGTGGGCCGGCTCCGTTGATGAAACGTGGCTCCCATCCACATGCCTCCCGGTCTTATTCCTTCGGGTTTACACTGGATATGGGGTGTGTGAATAGAGCTGTGGGTGGTGCAGCGCAAGCCACCCATGGTCCCTCCGTAAGCGTAGGCGTCCTGTGGCTGACCACAGAGAGAGGCAAATCCGAAACCGGATGCCGCCAACCATGTGTTAGTGGTCGTTGTGAGTGAAATTGTGAAGTGTGACTGAATTCGTGAGTTTGTTTGCTGTGTTCGCCATCGCATGAAGGGATCAATGGAACTCTTCGAATTGGATGACGTTTGTGAAGTGAGGATCCTCCGGAAGGGGAAGAGGCAGTGACTTTATTTAGTGGCGAGTCACATCCGCCACGTCGCAGTGTTGTTAAACGGACATTTGTGGCTTTTTATAGGGAGAACGCTTGCCAGGCGAAAACCCACTACGTCCTGGAACACTGCCGTCGAACTATTCGCTGGAACGGGATTAACCCGAATTACCCAGCTGGCACCACGTGGAGGTTGTTCGGCTAGCCAGCCGGATGCGATCACAGTGAAACCAGATATCCCGTTGGTTGCGAATGGATCTGGAACCTGTGGACTGATAACGAAAACTAGGTGGGTTCAAATGGCTTGGGAAATGTAAGAAAAGTCGGTGTCTAATTCTACCGAACTCCTCTGTTTTATATGTGCCATAGTCTTAAGCAGCCTGTGACATGCTCATTCATAAGCTAAAGTTCCGTTGAGTGATACCGCTTTGGGAGCTTTTAAGTTGTCCTTCTGTTTTTGAGCCACTTTAGTTTGGCTCAGATTGTAGTATGGCCAGTTGGTTTAGATGCTCCAGCTGAATCTGAGATTTCAGATGCTATCGCGGCTTCGATCTGTTTCACTGATTTACTCCCTCTCTGTTTGCGGACGATGGTGAGTGTCTATATATGCACTACGCCATTTGTTCGAGCAGATCTGAATTGAAACCCCCAATCGTAGCCAACTGCTGCGCAGCCTACTGGCTGTATTACTGAAGTCCAACCACAATTTTGTGTCAGCTAAATTAGTATCAGTCTGACGTGGACTGCGACGAGGTCCGTGTCCCCGTTGTCATCCGCGGCCTTTCGGTGGTACTAGAATCGGGTGTGGGGGCAGGCAAGTTTATAGTCATGGCAAGGCTTCATAGATCATACGTCCACTTTGGTAGGTGTTCCTCAAATTCGTTAGAGCGTCCGACATGATTACTTTGTTTTGTTCGATATACTTATCTGAAAAGATATTCTCACAAATCATTTGAACATTTTATATTCTCTATATTGCATTCTACGTCAAATTGTCGTTCTCTATTCCGATAACAAGTGGCATTCAACAGGCTTATTCGATTTTCCATTATTCAATTTTCTCATCAACTGCACCATTACTTGTCACTTTGGGGGATCTAGCAGTGTTTCACTGCTTTTGGGTAACGTGTCGACCTGGACTGTAGATGACATCATCTTGCTGTTTAACAGTCGCGAAACCACATATCCAACGCTGAGCAAACTCTCTGGAGTCTTTCGATCTTTCGATCTGTGAATTCCACCCTCGGAACGCAATCGCTATTACTAAGCCACCAACCACTTGCCGACCCTGCGGAAATTCTCGTTCATTACCTAAAGATGGTTTATCATTCCGCCTATATTGCCGGTGGTGAGCGTGTGGCTGCTGAATTTTGTCCACTTTTTGCGATAAATAGACCAGTTTCATGAGTCTGCAACATCTCTGGTGTCGGGGTTTGAAAGCTGTGTGTGGGACCACAGTAAGGTTATTTTTCCCTTACGGCAATGGGACATAAACCACTCAGGCTTTGCACGAATTAAGCACGAACTTACTCATCATCTAAGAGCTATGTTACTTTCCAAATCGCTTTCTTTATTTTACTATTTTGTGCAGGAAAATTTACACTACCTGCATCGTCTCCGGCGTTTTTACCTCTCTATTTACATCCCGTCTGTATTTAGTGCCGACCTCTAAAACCCCTTTGTTCTTGGAACACTCTCCTCGCGCCATGCGATTGTTCGTTATGAAAGCGAAAACGCTGCAACTACCTATGGATTTTACGAGTCAGTCTACAGCAAACGATGCTGGCAAAATGCAACCCTCAGGCTACCCTGTTTTCGCACCTGATTTCATATCTTATTTCTTCGGTAAGATCGAACAGACTGTGCATATTTGATTTTGATACCACTATCCAATTGGCCCCCTTGCCACTCGTGTTAGATGGATTGTTTAGTTAAAACCTAGGATATGGCACGACGTTTTGCGACTGCTGCTCATACACCTCATTGTTTAATGGGATAACTCGAGTCGATTAAGGTGCTACACCCTGTCCTCACTCCCATGCTCAATCATACTCGTTGTTGATGGTTTATATCGTGCTACTCTTATCTGCCTTTACACACGTGTTAAATGAGAACTCAACTGGAGTAACAGTACTCGTCTGCGCTTATTCCTTCACATCAGTTACCTACATGCATAACGTCTCATTTTTCTACCATGCTAGTGAAGCAATTTGAACCGAATGGTTCCATTTGGTTAACTTCCTCGCACGTCTACTTCCCTCATTTGGAGCCCCAGGTTCCCTCACTGAACCATGCATCTCACCAATGTGTGTCACTCTACCTCGTCCCCACATTGTCCTGTTTCGTAACTTTACCCTTCTTTTTATCTCCCATCTGCTTTGTCCTCCGGCAGTCTCACCCAGCATCTCCTTTCTCTACGCGGCACAACCTTGTCATCATAATTAGATGAGTTTCCCATTCGTCCCACGCCGTTATTGTTAGCTTGCTTACCTCACTTTTCTTCTCATGCTATAGTGAGCCATGTGAATGTTTCCAAAACAATTGGATCTCGTTCGTAACACTTGTTCTACTATATGATCAGGTTCTTGTCCCAAAAGACATCAGTAGTCAATTTTATCAACATTAAAAATAATAATGCAATTTTCGTGTTCGTCCGTAGTTGCTTTTGTTTGCCATTGCTGTCTTAATGCCAATGTTTTCGTTTTATTTCTTGCGAGTCTTCAGATAGGGAGAAAAAGATCGCCGAAGTTTTGAAATCCATTTCTTCATTACAAGACACGCAACGAGAATTGCAAGTTGCGGACGCTAGCGCATCTCACAGCTACAATTCAGTTAGTCACCCTGTTTTTAAGCGCATTTCGCTAAGGAATATCATTTTCACCTCCTTTACTTTGAGCTGGTTTTTTATTCCTGGGTGTTAGCATGTCAAAAAGTAATGTTGTATCTCAGAGTCTACACCTCTAATGTCGAATATGATTCTCCATAGCTAAGCTCATACAGTTAACTGCTGAACATCTGGCGGCGCACCAAACAGCCATTTCGTCGTTTCGTGACACACTAGTGGTGTGTTCCATGTGCGCCCGATGAGCAGCGACCCTTCGGTTTGGAGTCGGTGGTTCGGAGCATCGGGCTACGGGGCACTGAGTGTCAGCTGCACTAGTGCGCAGCACTCATCCGCTACTGTCAATCGCCTTTCCAACAGCCGAGTTGGTCCGCAGAACCACGACTTTCGAGTGTGCAGTATCCATCTAAGTTAGCGTAGCTATGATTAATCTCGTTCGAAATTGGACACAAGCCCTTCTTTTATCTACCTTCAACATTCAAATGTGGTAACGTCTTCTGTCAATTTTGCATTTTTTGTCTCTTCTCGCAGGTTTCCGTCCAGTTGGAAGCCATTATACAGAAGCGTGCAGATCTACGCTCCAAATTTCTCCAGATTCTTCTCTGCATTCAGCACTTCTGTCCGGTGTGTTCGTGTTCAAACGCATTTTCTGCGCAGCCATTTTGCTCTGCTACCGTGTTTGTTGATTCGTAGTAACTGTTACTCTGTACGACCCTTCTGCTGTCGGTAGCTGTGCGTCGTTTGAATTTGAGTTGCCCCCAAAAGTGAATAGTATAGCAACTGGACTCAGCGCTTTCCTTTCGTTTGCACTGTCTGCCTTTCGGTCTACCAGTGGTTGTTTTCGAGTTCGGTTCGATCGCAGTTCCCCTATTATCTTGCCGTTAACCCTCACAAATTTTTCGTTTAGAATTACATTTCCTAGCAATCCATCTTACAACATGTCAATCGGACTTGATGATTGGTTTAATTTACAAAGAGCTTTGTTCTACTCACCATCCGCAGGAACTA